AGCTCCTGATTGGTCCATGTTTATGCAAACGAGGAATCCAAATCACACAGTTCAGATTGGCCCAAATAGCACAGTCCTGATTGGTCAGAATCGTGCATGCTGATTGGTTGTTATAGAGCAGCTCTGATTGGTCAGTGTGTATGCAAATAAGGCCATAGCTCATTGGTCAAAAGAAATACCAGGACTCAGACCCCAGGCTCAGGGGTTGAGCATTGACCAATCAGGAACTGGGGCGGGACTTTTCTCTATAAAAGGTGCCCCACTCCCGGGGCTCCCCCAGTTTACAAATGTTCCCTTCGGGGAGTGGGGGCTTGGGGTGGTGGGGACCGGCCCCTCAGAGGGGCCGGCGGTGGGCTTTCTCCGCTTGAAATCAGGGCTCGTGGAATCTGCTCTCTCCCCCAAGCCGCCCAGGACACGGGCTGGCGCCTCCCACGTGACCGCCACCCGCAACTGTGGGGGCCCCTCCTCCCGCCACGCCCACACACCAGACCTCAGGTTGGCACAGGCAGGGTCAGAGGCCGGGCTCCTGAGCTGGGGAGACACCTCCCCCACCCCACCCCCTGCTCCTGGAGGGACGCCCGGACCGTCCTGTTTCTCCTGAGGAAGGCTCAGCCCTGCAGGGTCCCCTCCCCGTGCAGAGCCCCCTTCCTTTCCCCCCAGCCGCTCCCCGCGGTCTGCCCGGTCGCCGGCACAGATGGTCTGCGTTCCCCGGGGCCGAGCCCCGCGGCGCTTGCTGTCCCTCAGGTCCCTGTGCTGGAGCCCCAGTTCCCCCCACGTCCATCCGTCTTCATTAAAGCGCCAGTCCCGCCATAGCCGCCGCCCCAGCCATCCGCCTGGCCTTCCGGGCCGGGGCGGCAGCCGGCTCCCGAGGCTCCGTGACCATTTGTTGTTTCTGGTTTTCCCCAAACAGACATTTTTCTAACCAATCTGTGCTCCCGGCACCATCACCGTCTACACTATATTTATTCCTTCCTTCCTTCCTGCCTGCCTGCCTGCCTGCTGCCTCCGAAAGCTCTTATCTTCAGCGAGATAAGCTGCCTTCCAGCCTGCCCGCGCCGCTGGCTTGAACTCCACGCACCCGCTCTCACCTCATCGCTGGAGCATCTCAGGGTGCCTGGGTTCATGACACCCATTTCGGCTGAGACATGCTCGCTGCCTGCCCTCCCCCTCCATCGAGCAGGACAGTCACAGCCTTGGGCTCAGGAATGTGAGCACCTGCCCTCTTGTCCCTCACAGCCCACTGGGCGGAGGCACTGCCCCTGCCCCCGCTCCACAGACAGAAACTGGGCACAGAGAGGTTCAGGGACTAGGCCAGGGTCACACAGTGGTGCAGCCAGGAGCTGGGCTGTGGCCAGCGGAAGCCCGCCCCTCCCCCAGCATGGGGCAGGCCTGTCAGCAGAGGGAGGGAGGAAGGCCACCGAGCGCCCAGCACCCTCTGTGGGGACAGTGCCTTGTGCCCTGCTGCACAGGGGCCTGGGCCCACCTGCTGTCGCCCATTGGGTGTTGTACCTAGAGGCGGGCAGGGTTGGGCCGAGCTCTGCACCAACCACGGAGCCTCTGGTCTGGGGTGCCAGGCACAGAGGGTAGGCGTCTCACAGCGGGAGGGCCCGCTGGCAACCAGAGGCCTCGGCCTGAGTTCTCCGGGTCTCCCCAGGCCCCTGGCACAGTGTGGGCCTGACGTGGCCCTGGCATGGCCCTGGTGTGGCCAGTTCCCAGCTGGGGAGCGTGAGAAGGCACACAGCTGCCTGAGGTCCGGGGGGCGGGGGTGCTGCCCCGCCCCCCCGAGTTGGCGAGGAGGGCCTTGCTCCAGGCGTGGCCGGCCTGTGCCGTGTGCCGTGCCCGGCCGAGCCTCCTTTCTCTCGGCAGGAAATGCCACCCTCCCGCAGGGCCGCCGTGACTCTCGGCGGGGTATGGAGGGTGCTCCCGCAGGCACAGGAGCCCAGACCTGCCTCCTATCCCCCATCCCGCAGCCTCTGGAGACCACCGGGCCCTCAGCGAGCCCGGAGCTCCGGGCGGGTACGACAGACGCAGCCGACCCACGTCCAAGTCTGAACTCTGTGCCCCGGTCAGACCCGGCGCCGGGAATGCTCCCCCGTGGGTGTCCTGCTGTGGCCACGGACACAGGGTGGCGGCCGGAACACACTCATCTCTCAGCCCTGCCGGTCAGGGTCTCCGGGGCTGACCCGGGTCCCAGGGCCGCCCGCAGGGTCCAGGGCAGCCTGTGCCTGGCCTTCCCCAGCTCCTGGAGCCCCACATTCCGTGGTCTGCGGCCCCTTCCTCCGTCCTCCACCTTCAGCTCAGGTGTCACACACCCCCCCCCCGTCCTGTGATAGCCTGGGCCCCAGGCCCCCCTTCCCATTGGAGGTCAGCGACCCCCTCACTGGTCCCATCTGTGTCCTTAACTCTGGGGCCGAGGGGCACCTTGGCAGGTCCCAGGGACTCGGGACTCGGCATCACGGGACCCACCACCCCATTCGGGTTACCCCTCCTCCGGGAGACGGGGAACGGCTCGTCGTGCAGCTGGGGGTGCTCCCAGGAAGCCTCGCCGATCACGGTGACTCATCCCAGCCCGGCGCGGCCGGAGACGCGGAGGGGGGGAGCGGGTGGCGGGCCGGCGGGCGGGCAGTACCGCGGCGAAGTCACCGCGCCTTCCTCTCGGTCGCCTTCTCCCCTCGGGGGGACAAGGCCACGGCCCTGCCGGTGCCCGCAGTCACCCGGGAACGGCCATGCTGCCACGGCTCCCCAGGCCTTGCCTCTCCTGTTCAGACTCAGAGAGGGGGTGGCGGGGGGAGCAGAAGGCCGCACCCGCACCCCCACAGAACACTGTGGAGGCCCCGCCCGGCGGCCTCCGTGTGAGGTGCGGGGTCCCCGGACTCCGGATCCTTAGACGCAGACGGAGCCCGGCCCCGGAGCTGTCCGCACGCAGGGGAGGCCTGAGGCTCCTTCGCTCCGGCCCCCGACGCCCCGCGGAGGCTGGATGGGGGCGCGTCCCCGCTGACCTGTGGCCCCGGCCTGGCTCCGCAGGGAACGCAGCTCCGGGCCTGGGAGCAGGGAGGGGCTGCCGCCTGCCCGACCCCCTGGCCGTACAGACAGACATGCCCACCTTGGCCTCTGCCACGGCCGCTGGTGAGGGTGCTGGTGGCCGAGTATCGCCCGGCGACAACCCTGGGCCTGGCGCTCAGGGGGGAACGGGGAGCGGGGAGCAGGGCGGGGGCGTGACTGCCCCCCTGGCGAGAGGGGAACGGCCGACGCCTGGGGGACCGCGCGTGAGCCCAGGTCTGTGGAGCGAACGGCCAAGCACCCGGCCGGCCACGGTGGTGAGGACTGATGTGACGGGAGAGGCCTTCAAGGATGCTGTGAGGCGTGTGCGGTGCGATGACAGCGAATAACACGCATCGCCACGCCGGGGCCACAGGCTGCCCACCAGGAGGAGGCCGGCTGTGACTGGCCCAGGCCCTGGGTGGGTGAGGAGGGAGGTCTCCCCTTCTGCCCCCTCCCCCATCACACCCAGGACACGCCGAGTGCCAGGCCGGGCGCAGCTCCCACAGGATTAGCCGTGAGTCTGAACCGCGAGCTCAGAGGGAGGCAGCGAAGCTCATGTGCTGGTTCTCACAGGACACCAGCCCCCGGGGGTGAATGGAGGGTGGACCAGCACATGGAGAGGTGGCTGGGTAATACAGGGACAGATGGGCGGGTGAATGAATGCATGAGTGCATAGAGAGGATGGATGGATGGATGGATGAGTGGATTCTGCTCTAGCTAAGGCAGTGGGCTGGGCTGGGCTGGGCTGCCCCCTGCCCTGCAGTCAGCACCCCCCAGCTGCTCGCTGCCTGTACCCTCAGGGCGGCTGTGTCACCCCGTCCCCCTGCACCTGCCCCCTCAGGGCGGACCTGTCACCCCGTCCCCCTGCACCTGCCCCCTCGGGGCGGACCTGTCACCCCGTCCCCCTGCACCTGCCCCCTCAGGGCGGCCGTGTCACCTGGTTCCCTGCACCTGCCCAGAGCCACACACGCCAGTCCCCCGGTCACCACAGCACGTGGGGGCCACCAGCCACCTCCCTGCCCGCCCTCCATGGCCGCTGCCAAGTTCACTGTCCCGAGAAGGTCCGTTCTGGGCTCTGTACTCTGTCGGCCAGGGTCATGCCGGACTCAGACACACATGTCGCTGAGGGCGGGTGCTGCCTCAGGGCTTCCACGTGTTAATGACACGAGGGAGAGGTCTCAGGAGGGTCACCGGCGTGGTGCTGGGAGGGACGCGAGGCGACTGGCCACGGCTGGACAATGGCCACCGTGCAGTCTTCCTGCCTCATCCACTGTCCCCGCTCGCCCGCAAGGCCACGGTGGTCGCTCCCTCACCACGGCGGGCAGGGCTGACCCCTAGGCTGTCCAAGGCCCACGCTTTCCCATGGACCGGTGGCTGGGCCTGGCCAGGGGTCCCTCTCCTCAGGCCCAGGTCCCGGCCCCGAGCAGGCGGTCAGGACCACGGAGAACAGAGGCACTGGTCTGCCGGGACACAGGGCTGGCGGGACCTTGGAGGTCAACTGGCCCAACCTCCCGGCCAGAGGACACCCTCCCTGCGTGACTCCCTCCCACAGGGGGAGCTCACCGCCTCACCGGACGGCTCTGTCCTGTCCCCGAACACGTCCCACGGCACACGCGGCGGCGGGAGGCCCCTTTGTCCCACAGCCCCACTCCCAGCTGGACCGCCCTCCAAGTAACCATGGCAACGGCTCTCGGCGCTCCCCGGCTCTCGGGCAGCCTCCCTGCCAGAATGGGAGCGGAGTGCGGCTGTGACCACATGCCCAGGGCCCACTGTGCCAGGGCCACGGCGATCACACCTGCCCTGCCTCCCGCAACAAGGCCGGCTGGCCCCTCCGGACACGCCCCTGGGCCCCCCAAAGGGGCGCGGCCGGGCCCCAACGCACAGGCGCAGGGAGACCGCCCTCGGGCAGGTTCTCCGGGGCGGCGGCTCCCCCGGCCCAGCCGGCCGGGCACTCTCACCTGCCGGCGTCGAAGCTGTCGTAGGAGCCCACGGTGTAGTGCCGGAACAGCTTCTTGCTGCGGTCCGCACGCGTGTCTGCACGGGGAAGAGAAACACGCTCAGCGACGTCACGGCCCCGGGCGTGGGGACCGCACCAGGCGGGCCGGGCCTCCCATCCGCCCAACCGACGTCGCCCGAGACCCGCCCTCCCGGGAGGTCGAGGCCTCACTCTGGGGCCCACTTTGCAAATTCGGGGGACGCATATGCACCCCAAGGCACAAGCCTCGGGAGCTCTGTTCCCAAACAGGGCAGAGCCCCAGGGTCCTCGGCGCGAGGGGGCGCCAGGAGGGGGCGCCGCGCAGCGCACAGAGGACTGTCCGGCCCCTCTGGAGGGCGGCTGCCCGGGGCCGAGGAGCCACCAGCCGGTGTTCTCGGCTGCCTCCTGCACGCCCATGGGAGCCGTGATGACTGCCTTTGGGAAAATGCTTATTGTTATTTTCCTGATTGTCATTGCTTTCTCCTGCACACACACACACACACACACACACACACACACGCACACCAAACAGCCGTGATGAACGGCCCTAATTAAGCTCCCTGCTTGCTTCCCTTGCTCAGCGGATTCAGACGTAAATTTCACGGGAAATGATGTGGACGCGGTAATTAGATTTAATAGATAGCTCAGGGCTGCGGGGGAGGGGGGCATGTAGACGCAGATACATGCGTCCTGATGTGCTGTCTCGCTATCTCCCCTCCGTCATAAACCCTCCCAGACAATACCCTTCGAGCCCTGGGATAATACAGAGATGACGTGCTGGCCTCGGGAAAGGGCTGGAAGTCTCTGGAAACCCTGTGACCTCCCTCCTGCCCCCGGCGAAGTCAGCGAAAACACTTTCTGCCCAGCTCCCTGTCTGCCCAGCCTGCAGCTCCCTTTCTGCCCAGCCTGCAGCTGCCTTTGGGGCTTGGGGTGGAGCAGAGGTCCCACCGAGGACTACATTTCCCAGCACCCCTTGCACCCAAGCACAGCCATGTGACTATTTCCCACCAATGGGATGTGAGCATGTTCTATGGGAGGGTGGGGAGGGTCCCTTCTAAGCTTGGCACTGCCAGCTCTACCCTCTAGGCTTCTCCCAGCTCAAAGCCGGACACCAGGCCTGGAAGGGGGGGGCGGGGGCCGGAACCCTCTCGGATCCCTGGCGGAGGCCCAGCCTCTCGCGCTGAGCCGCTGACGTGGGCGGGAACCAGCCTCGTGGCGCTGCGTCGCACGCGCTCTAGGAAGGCGTTGGTTCGGCAGCCAGCACTGCCCAGCGGGCGAGCGGGCCAGGGGCCCGGGCGGGCTGCCACCTGCCTCTCCACCTTTTCCCCATCGCTCCCTGCGGCTCCCATGCTGTGACAGGCGGGTTCCCCGCAGTGACATCATCGCTGCCACGGTCACCGAGGACACGGACCCGCACTCACTCACTGTCCCCCAGTGACGGGGCAGAAACGGCACATCGGGAACCAGCTGGAACGGTAAGACGGGCTGATCCGCGCTGTCCACCGTCGTCGTTTGTTCTGATTCAACAAGGCACGCTCTCGCCCGGCTGGCAGTGATACACGGGGCCTGGGCGCTCCCCTCCCCGTTCGGAGCTGCCTGTGGCCGTGGACACACGACCCTGGTGCAGAACCAGGGCTGCCAGCCCTCGGAAGACACCAGCCTCGGAATGCCCTCCGGCCCTCGAAAACCTCCTGACTGTACGCCGCCCAGGTGGCATTTCCTTTGGCTGCTTCCCCACGGAGTCCCTGCCCTGCTAGCCCCCAGAAGCAGTGGCTGATGGGGGTGCAGAGCAGGCCTCTGTGGGTGACCTGCTGCTCTCCCTGCTGCCGGCAGGATCGGAGTAAACGCTCACACAGGATTCCCTCTGTCTCTGCTGAATTGGCTCGAGGAGTGACGGGCAGCCCGGACCCACGGATTGTCTGGTTACCTTAGGACCGCCGGGGAGAGGGCGCACCCCGGGGAGCGGGCGCACGCAGTCTGCGGGGTCAGCCGCGTCCCCCAGGCCAGCCCCTCTGATTTCTCTCCATTTCACGACGCCCTTCAACCCCACGGAGCAGCCGCTCCGGTCATCCCAGCCTCGTCCTCACCGATGGTTCCTGGGTCTGAGGCCCGGGCCCTGCTGTGCAACATCTGGGCTCTCGCAGGCCGCGGTGGCAGCCCGGGCAGCCCGGACCCACGGATTGTCTGGTTACCTTAAGGCCCCGCTGGCAGTGGGACGGCCAGACCACTGGCCTGGGTGCTGCCCAGGCAATGCCGCACCTGCTGACCGCATGGCCGGGATGAGCACCTCAGCCGGCAGGCAGCTCCCTGGCCCCTGGAGGGTCCGCTGAGGTGCGAGGGGGTGGGGAGAGGAGGGGGGCTGGCCTTGCTCCTCGTTACCAGCCCTGGTGTCCAACTCCTGGTGGGCGGTCGAACTCCTGGAGGACACCAGGGTAAATGCTTGCCGACCTGATCTACAGGATCCGCTGTGCGATCAGCACACCAAGCACAGCACACACCCTCCCGTGGGCGCGGGGCCGGCCCGGCTGCACGCACCGCCCCAGGCTGGGCCCCTGGACCAAAGCACCCCATGTTCCGTGTCCCCCCCACTGGCACCCGGCATCCCGCACACGTTCCATCTTAGTCGTTATCGAGCCCCCGTGCCCCAAAGAAGGGACTGGAAGGAGACTGGGTGGGGACAGGGCCCGGCACCCCAGGGCTGGGGGAGGGCGGAGCCTGGGGATGCTGGCCGTCCAGGGGCTGGGCTGAGGGCCCCGCAGCCACACAGCGGGGCGGAGGGAGCCCTGGGCAGGGCCAGGCCTACGGCGTCTCTGTGGAGCCGCGATGGCCAAGCCCTGGGGGCCAGGTGGGATTGGAGCCCGTGTGTGGGTTCACTGGTGAGCCGCCAGCTCAGGAAGCCAGGAGGGACCGGACCGGCTGTTAGATGCTGTTATTGCTCTTAATTGCTTCTGTTGCTTAAGCCCCAGGGCAGCTCTGTGCTGGTTGTCTAGGGAACCGCTAGGCGCCGGGAGCTGATTGGTGCAGGTCCCAGCTGAGGTCAGAGGTCCCAGGTTCCAGGAGTAAGAGGGTGTGCAGTGACGTGTGCGTGTGCGTGTGCGTGTGCGTGCGTGTGTGTGTGTGTGTGTTTGCGTGCATGTGTATGATTACTAGACAAACCCGTTTCTGAAAGGGGAGTGCTTCTAGGCTCCGCCTGCCCACGGTTCCCAGACCTCAGGATTGTACCAAAACGGTGCTGATCCTCACCGAGGGCACTTTTCCATCGGTTTTTAGAGAGGGAGGAAGAGAGAAAGGAATGGAGAGGGAGGGAGGGGGTTGGGGGAGAGAGACAGAGAGAAACATCAATCTGTTGCCTTCTGTACCCACACAGGCAGGAGACTGAACCGGAAACCTGGGCACGTGCCCTGACGAGGAATCGAATCGTGACCTCCTGGCTCGCAGGTCGACGCCCAGCCACTGAGCCGCACCAGCCGGGCTGCCCCCCAGAGCTGTAAGTCCTCCTCTCCCGGAAGCAGTCACAGGCCGGGATCCGAGGCCCTGGGACCTCCGCCCCCGCTGCTCCTCCGGGTGGCGGGCTTGCTCCCAGCGGCCCTGGGCCGGGCGGTCTGTGCTGACGGCCGGAGCCCTCGCCGGCCTGTCCTGGCTTTCTGGGGCAGGAGGCGCAGAGGCGGAGCGCCTGGGTGTTCTCACCGGGAGCCGAGCTCGTGGGCTCATCTGAAGGCCCAGCGACGGCTCTGGGAGGGGGACCCCGTCACACTGCTGGCGGGCCTCACAGCCCCTGGGGCCCCTCACGGGAGGGTATTTCCCATTGGCTTTTAGAGAGCGTGGAAGGACGGAGGAGGGGGAGAGAGGAACGTCGATGAGAGACACAGGGACTGGCCCGCCTGGGGCCAGGGATCCCAGGTCCGTGCCCTTGGCCAGGGATGGAACCTTAGACCCCTCAGCCTGCAGCCGGCGGTCTAACCACTGAGCAACCGGCCAGATCCCTTGCCTCTCTCACTCCTGACCCCAAAGGGGCAGAGATCAAGGAGGACGCCTGGCAGGGGGGCGGGGGGCGGGGCGGAGGGGTCCCCTCAGGCTCTGCGATCTGGTGGGTTTAAGTCACAGGCCTCATGCTGGCCCGTTCCCCCCGCAACACAGAATGAGAACCCCAAGGAGGAAAGAGCCAGCGAGGAGATGCAGACAGAAATAACTCGTCTTTTTTAAAACCAAGGATGCGACGGCTCCCTGCAAAGAGGAGGGGCAGGCGGAACTCGGGGAGAAGCGGGCGGGGGGAGGGGGAAGGGAGGGGGGAAGGGAGGGGGGAGGGGAGGGGCGCACACAGACAGGCCGCCCGGCCCTGGTCCGTGGGGCTGGGTGGCAGGACCCGGGGCCGTTGGGCTGGGGACGGTGGGCTCACTGTCACCTCCACCCTAGTCCGCAGACAGGGGGCCCCGGGGGCGACCAGGGCCTGGGGGGGCGGCCAGGGGCACACAGTGTGATGGGAAGCGTGTCGCCGCTCCACGGGCACCACCTTGTCCGCTGTGCGTGGGCTACAGGGCCGCCTGGGCGCTGGGCCCGGCCTCGCGGGGGGAGGGGGAGGAGAGGGGAGGGAAGGGAGAGGAGGGGAGGAGTGGGGGAGGGGAGGGGAAGGGAGGGGAGGAGAGGGGAAGGGAGAGGAGGAGATGGGTGAACCAGGAACCCATCTCTTTTCTTTCTTTTCTATTAGTCCTCACACGGGGGGGGGGGGGGGGGGAGAGGGAGAGAGGGAAACATCGATGTGAGAGAGACACCACGACCAGCTGCCTCCCACACATACCCCAACGGGGGCCGGGAATCGAACCCGCGACCCTTCGGGGGCCAGAGCTGACGCTCTAACACTGAGCCAGCAGCCAGGGCCCGGCTCTCAGTGGCCAGACGGCTTCCCGGCGCCGGGCGCGGGCGGAGGTGTCGTTTCCCGGCCGCTGTCACGGACACCGCTCCCCGAGGGGCCTGACACCCTCACGCCTCTGCCCCTGGGACCGCACACCCGGGCTCCCGGCTCCCGTGGGGGCAGGGCTGGTGCCGCCGGCCCCACAGCCCC